TACCACTTTGCGTTGGTCTGTCACATAAAATCCCAAAAAAATACATAAGGGGTATGAATACTTTTTCAAGGCACTGTACTTGGGAAGAAGTGCTGCGGAACCTTGATGTGCTTATACTGTGACTTTTATGTTTGAAATATCCATCTAAATATCTTACATACACTATTTAAAGTGGCCTTTCTCAACCTTTTCTACATAGAGGAAACCTTGAAATATCTTTCTGGTCTCAGGGAACCCCTGTTAAAAACTACTGTATCTACAACTCATGAAACATTAGTGTGATGGTCAGTGGCAAGAATGCTCCTTACACTTGTGATCAAAGTATTCATACCCCTTATGTATTTTATTGGGATTTTATGTGACAACCCAACACAAAGTGTTACATAATTGTGAAGTGGAAGGAAAATGATAAATGATTTTCAAAATTTGGCAAGAATTCCCCCTTACAGATCACCAAAAAGATCAATTATGTCAGTGGGAACTTATCTGAAAGGCAGAAATTGCTCATTGCTTAAGGAACTTCAGGTTCCATGGGATCCTGGTTGGGAAATCCTGAGTTAGGGCCTAATTAAATTATAACTGTTAACTGCATATGTGTACAATGAAACATTAAATTTGTTATACAATTGAAAATGACATGTTCAAGACAACATTTCCATGGCATTCATTGAGCTGCTGTCTGTGGTGCTGAAGATTGCTCATTTCTTTACATTTGTTTCCAGTTGCTTCTGTTCCTTAGCTGTATACACTGATTTTTAATGTACATTCTCACATCTGTGTGTATGTGTTTGTGTATATATATATATATATATATATATATATATATATATATTTTGGAAACCGATATCTTTAAAACAAACAAAAAAAAAAATGCGCTTATCGTATGGGCAGGCAGTTTTTACACAGACAGGAAGAATCAATAAACTACCACAGCGCTCAACAGCGCCGTGGTAGTTCATTGACAACTACAATGCACGGCTGCGCTTTCTTTGTTTTATAGCCGTGAGTATGGGGAGAAGAATCCCCATCATGCTGCCACAAGGAGGGGGAGAGATCAGGGGAAGAGGGGTCTATTGCTGAACATGTTACACCCTAAATATGGATGTAACACATTCAGAAAGGTGAACTTATCCTTTAAGATGCTGATTGACAGTTGGTATTTATTTGCTTGCTTTGATTTGAAGCATTTTATAAGCCAGTTGTGTGGTCTTATAATCCAGAATGCATGCATTCCTCATTACTGTTTTGTCAGTGGCTGTTTGAAGAATGGAAGTTTTACAGAAAACTTAAAGCAGCATAATAGACTCCTGCTAAATACATGGTTTAAGTTAGTATAGGCATGGCCAAAAATATTGGCACCCCTACATTTCTGTCAGATAATGCATGCCACTTCACCCAGACAATTGCAATTAGAAATGTTCAGGCATTCTCATGTTTATTTCTTTTTTTTGTATTGGTATGTCACAAAACGTGGAGAAACAAAAAGCCAAATCTGACACATTCCACACAAAACTCCAAAAATGGACTGGACAAAATGATTGGCACCCTCCAATTTATTAATAGCTTCCTGTAACCATCAATAAGTTTCTTACATCTCTCTACTGGAATTTTGGACCACTCTTTTTTCACCAACTGCTCCAGGTCTCTCAGTTTGGAAGATTTCCTTTTCCCATTTACTGTTTTGAGATCTCTCAACAGATGCAGTATGGGATTAAGATCTGGACATATTGCTGGCTAGTTCAGTACTCACCAGCACCTTGTCTGAAACCATTTCTGGGTGTTTTTTGATGTGTGATTTGGGTCATCGCCCTACTGCAAGATCCACGACCTCTGATAGAGACCCAACTTTCTGACACTGGGACCCTTACATTACACCCCAGAATAATTTGATATTCTTCAGCTTTCATAATGCAATGCACACAGTCAAGACATCCAGTGCAGCAGCAAAGCTACCCCAAAACATCAGTGAAACTTCACCATACTTGACTGTAGGCACTGTATTCTTTTCTTTAAAGGCCTCATTTCTTTTTCTGAAAACAATAGAATGATGGGCTTTACCAAAAAGCTGTAATTTAGTTTTGTCTATCCACAGCACATTCTCCTAAAAGGATTTCCGTTTCCTCAGGTAAATTTTGGCAATCTCCAATCTGGATTTCTTATCTTTCTGTGTCAGCAATGGGGTCCTCCTGGGTTTCCTACCATAGCATCCTATTTTATTCAGATGGTGACGTGTAGTGCGAGATGACACAGTTGTACCCTGTGCCTGAAGGTCAGCTTGAATCTGGAAGTTGATTGAGGTTCTTTAGCTACCATTTGAACAGTCCTTCATTGCAATCTTTGATCAATTTTTCTCTTTCATCCATGTCAAGGGAGATTAGTTACAGTGCCATGGGCTGTAAACTTCTTGACAATGTTGCGCACAGTGGACACAGGAACATTAAGATCTCTGGAGATGGACTTGTAACCTTGAGATTGTCCATGCTTTTCCACAATTTCTGTTCTCAAATTCTCAGACAATTCTTTGCTGCTCTTTCTCTTCTCCATGCTCCATGTTGCACACAGACAGGTTGAGTTAATTTTACACCATTTTAACTGGTTGCTGGTGTGATTTCTATATTGTCAGCGCCTGTTAATCGATACAGGTGAGTTTAATTACAAATTACAGGAGCATCTCAAACTTGGAATGCAATTATTTCTTACAGTTTTCAAAAGGTGCCATCCCAATGACACCAATACAGTGATCAGTGCTAATAAAAAGCACTGACACTGTACTAATGGCACTGGGCAGGAAGGGGTTAATGAGTGGGCGATGAAGGGTTAACTGTGTGCTGTTTCACATTATGTGCTGTGTGTGTACTTTCAAGTGTAAGCACACTACTTTGTAATGCTTTGCAGAGCCATACAAAGCAGTGTGCAGGAGCTGACGGGAGAAAACTGTATCGTTTACATACAGTTCTTTCCCTCTCGGTAATACTTGGTGATCACTGGGTGCTGACAAGTAATCAACGTCCAGGACTCGGTGACTGACTGCCGAGGCCGCAAATGGCGGCACAGGTAGGGCTCGCACGCGCGCCCACTACCCGGAACTGTGTGTATAATATATATATATATACATGATTTTGCACACCCGTGCCTCCCTGTACCTGTAGAAGTGTTTCTGCTATAGGGCTGAAGGTTAACTTCAAATTTTATTTCACTGATGGTTGAACTTTTCCAAGAGACAACTTGGTCATCATAATTAATGTATCTTGGACCTTGTTGATAGCATTGAATAAAAAATAACTTCTGATTTCAGTTAAGAAAATCCTAGCATAATATGCAATGAGCCTAGATTTGTGAGGTCAGGCCCTACACAGTGGGAGCAAGTTAGATAAACAGGACTTTATGTTTTAAACATAGATGGACTCTGCAGTCAATGTACATGTTAAAGCAGCATAGAGAAAAGCTGATTCCAGAGCACATAAGCATAAAGACCCATTCAGCCAAATTTCCCATTTGAACATTAGCATACACGTAATAGAAAATAATATACATATTTCTGCTTAGAGCCTATTATTTGCAGAGCATATGATTCTTCCTACTTCAGTGTTTATAGAAGCTGTAAATCATAGAAAACCAGAGGCCCTTGAGATTCTTTAATGATTACTGCCCTCAGCTTTGATTTAATTTTACTTCAAGCTAGAAATGGTCCTTAATCGATTGATTCATCTGCTAGCCATGGAAATTTCCCCCAAAGCCACGAATTGATATTCTATTAGATTATGATTCGCAATTCTCTTGATAATTTATTTGTATTCTCTTATAGTCTTAATTACCTTTAATTTATCTCTACACTATTTACATCTATAGCTTACAGTGCGATTATGTCAGTTGCTCAGGGTGTATGTATTGGATTTAGGAAATGCTAGTCATAGATTAGATTCCATTTTGTCAAATACAGTACAAATTCTTGTACGAATATCTATACCCTCAGAGGCAGCGAAGCTTTCAATCTATTATTTGAATTATGGTTTTATATAATTATGGGAAAATGTATTATTGTTTGCCTATGTTTGTAGATAAAAGTACATTCTGAAAAGGCTTTTATATGAATACAGTGCAAGCTGTGGGTAACATCACCTGTAGTCAAGGTAAACAAAAATAATATTGCCCCATGTCTCGGAACTGGTCCATGAACTGATTGATTTGCTGCCCCACAGAATGAGGTCTTGCACTTGCTGCAAGCAAAGTGTATGGGGTCAAAGGAGTGCTAAAGGAGAGTTGTACAGTCTCTTCTCCTGCACTGAAAATGCTTACTCTGATTTCACTGCATGCTGTGAGCTTTTCACAGTGGGCAGTATAAGCTTCATCAAATCAGATATAACCCACCTCATTTTACCGCTGGAGGATCTCTAGCATCACCTAGCACTTTTCTCCCCAGCCAGACTGTTCCTGGTCTACCCTATTCATTTATTTGTATTCAGATCTTTCAATCATAGAAACTCAGCAATCTATGTGAGTTTTACTTAGGATAGTCTGCCTAGGAATGCCCACTCCTCCAGACACCAAGGCATTTTGACATTTGTATAACCTCCCAAGAGCCAGCCCTCTGCTTGCAGCAGGGAGTACTGGGAAGCACTAATGCCAAATTCTGTGACGTTTTAAGGAATCTATGTACAGCAACCTGCCAGCCCCTCCTTCCAGCCATGATCTGCCAGCATTGGGTCTAACATTGCCTACATCATAAAATTGGAAATATTTTGAATTTAGGCAAAATATAAAAAGATTATATTTAGCAGATTATATATTACATTATATATATATTATATAAGCTGATTCATATTTAATGAACTACCAGTGTTGTACAATGTACCAGCAATATTGTTTGAGAATGCACTTTTTGTCCATTGAAAGTGTATTTTAATTACTATTTAATTATTTATGAATTGCAGAAGAGCTAGAGATAACCAACATGATTAATTCAAAGTTCAACCAGAGCAAATAGATCAAATGAACAATGGTAAAAATAGAAGCATAGAGCAGGGCTTGAAATTTCCACTCGCCTGCTCGCCAATGGCGAGTGGAAATTATGGTGGGGGCGAGTGTGTCCCCCAGGGCCGTCTTGCTGAGCAGGCGTGGAGCTCAGGCCGGATCTGTCATTGGCATTGGGAGCTATCAGACTGCTCAATACCTGCAGTGAAAGCAAAGAAAGGAGTGTGTGTGCTGTGCTCTCTGCCTCCCCCTAAAGTGCAGTGCCCGGCTCTGTGAGTGAACAACGAAGTACTGCAACGTTTTATGGGGGGGGGGTGTACATGTGTGTTTTTTGTGTGTGTCTGTGTATGCATGTACATGTGTATGTGTGTATGTATGTGTCTGCGTGTATGTACATGTATGTGTGTTTGTACGTGTCTGCGTGTATGTACATGTATGTGTGTGTGTACATGTGTCTGTGTGTGTATGTACATGTGTGTGTTTGTGTGTATATATGTACATGCGTCTGTGTGTATGTACATGTGTGTGTTTGTGTGTATGTACGTACATGTGTCTGTGTGTGTGCGCATGTACATGTGTGTGTTTGTGTGTATATATGTACATGTGTCTGTGTGTATGTACATGTGTCTGTGCGTGTGTATTTCTGTGTATGTACATGTATCTGTGTGTATGCGTGTCTCTGCGTGCCTGTGTGTGTATACATGTGTCTCTGTGTGTGTGTATATGTTTCTGTGTGTGTATGTGTGTGTATGTACATGTCTGTGTGTGTGTACAGGTGTCTCTGTTTGTGTGTGTTTGTTGGTGGCGAGTAACTCTTAAGGCCTGGCTAGTAGCTCAGGATTTGAAATTTTAAGCCCTGGGTAACCAGAGGTACTAAAGAGTAAGGTAGGTGGTGTAGAAGTAAAGACTCATTGATGATTAAAGCTAGCCATACACTTTGGCTGGTATACATAAACTAGCCAAAATGTGCTTAGTGGGTGGCCCTGCTGGCCCCCTCCTGCCCAAAATCTTTCAATTGCAAAAATCAAAGGAGCTGAGGAGGAAAATTCTTGGTCAAACATCAGCTGCGTCCAGTCACATGCAGTTGCAGTTTGGGTGTTTTGCTTTACCTGTCAAAAGGATTTGACAGGATTTCTGTCTATTAATTGCTAAAATATAGACAGCTTTGCCCCACAGCACATCCCTCTCCAGGCAAGGATAGGGGACCTGATCATTTCTTGCTGCAGTATCATGTTTGCTTACAGGTACCCTCCCTTCCTCTACCCTGTGAGTGGAACAAAGCAATATACTGCTGAACTCATCAGCGCCTCAGTTACCACTTCCATCTTCACCCGGCTTTCTTCCAGGTTCATTGTCTTCTCCTATCTTGATTGGTTAAGATGACTTAAAGCGTAACTCCACTTTCGTGGAAAAAAAATAGCAAATACATAATATAGCATGTGTACTTGCGACATGAGTGATATTGCAATTGAATGTTTTAAACAATTATGTGTATTAAAACCAGCTCTTAAAAAATTCACGTCCTCCAAAGTTAAATGCAAAGTGTCCTCTCAAGAAAGTCTGTTACATTCATGTCCAAATAAAGTGCTTTCGTTGAATCACCTGTCTCTTGAATTCACGATGTAAATCACTCTCACGAATATACAATCTCACAAATAAAAAAAAAACGATATAGTGTAGTATTCTTTCACTCCATATGTATAAGGAAATATTCCTATAATGTTCTCACATTAAAATATGTGCCAGCTTTTCATATACCACTCCGAACTCTTCCTCTCCAATCCTCACATGTGATGTCTTTTCTTGGGAAGATCCTCACCCCTCACTTCCAGGTGGGTGTCCAGTGCCCCAAAATATAAATCAGAAGCAATACTGAAGCCCCATAATGCCCACAGAATGGTAATTCCTGCTACTCACATTGAGTGAGCTTCAAATGTGTCTGTCCCTTTAAAACCTTTACCATGTTCCACCACTTCTACGGGTACGGTAGTATTGTACAATGTCAGTGCAGTTGGTATGAATGAGCCCTTTATAGGTGCAAAATGTTACACAAAAGGAAAAAGGAGATGGATTACTCTGTGTTCATGAAAATGGCCACTGTGAGTAGAATGGGAGAAAGAAATTAAAAATTTCATTTTTTTTTTCAAAAAAATATACCATTGCACTTTTTGAAGGAACTGTTGCACTATATGGACAAATGTATTGATTTGAAGGATATAAGCAGCAATTCATATATTGTTTTTATATATTAGAATATGCACTTGTATATGCTTGTTTGCATTTAAATAATTATGTAAGCGATGTATGTTTTGGGTGATGTTTAGAGTCTGATATATCACACACTTCTGACCATGAACCACTCCAGTTAGTATCCAAGCCCCACTGTATACAGATGCATACTCACCTTCAGTGCTGAACCTCACTGCTTCAATATGAGGTTTGGTGTCACTTTAAGAGGTAGGTTCTGCATTTACAGTATACACTCCCACACAACTTTCTTGCTCTAAACACTCAGGAAGCTTCAGTGTTGATCCCCACTACTGAACATGAGGGCTACTATGGCTTTAAGAAGCAGGTTTTGCATGTAAATGCTTCAAAACAACCCTTTTCTTCTCGGCTGATCATCACTGCAGCATCCTGAGTTTATGGAGGAAGAAAGTTGATGGCTTTTGCTGTAAGAGGCAGCTGAGCAAACGTCAGGGAAAAACCTAAAAAGATCAGCTGAACTACATATGGGCCTAATCAGAGTCACTTTCAGGCAGGTGTGTACTGACTACTATTTAACATGAGTTTGAATATGGTTGGTTAATTCTGAGCACAGCCACATCCCTAAAAATAAGAGGGTATGCAAATTTATGCAGCCACATTATTGAATTTTTTTTACAATATTCAATTTTTTTTTCTATTGAATTGCACAGATTATAGGTCACATGAAAGCTCCGTACACACAGTCTGAATATTGGCCAGTATTGGCCGGTTCAATAGAAACCGGCTGACATTCGGCCTGCACATACACCCGCTTGTCTTACAGATGCTGGCCGAATGGCCTGCATCTGTCGAACGGGCAAGCTGGGAAAACCAGCATCCGATCGGCATCCAATCAGGCTTACCGGTGTGTTCTGGCAGGAGAGCAGTCCCCCTGTCAGAGCTCAGCGGGGAGGTCGTTGTACTAACATCAGATAGTTAGTACAGCAAGCTCCTCCCGAGCTCTTCTATTTTTTTTTTCGTTCACCCCACTGGGTTGAAGCAAAAAAAACTGATACTTAAGCTGGATAAGCTTAAGTTGGAAAAAATTCTAAAGTGATTTTTCTTGATCTGATTTTTTTTACATCTTAAAAAAAACTGGCATTTTAAAGGAGTGTGTAGACTTTTTATATGTACAGTATGTGTATGTGAACTAAACTGAAGATGGATGTGTAAACTGATGTAACTTAATCTGCATTCATCAATTTTTTCTTAGCAAAAAGCTTGATGAAACTGATGACATCCGTGTGAAAGGCTCCTTAAGGAACCTACTATTTAAAAACTGTGGTAATAACTTCAACTGCCAGCATGCTTTACAGTAGTGCCAGACAGTAGGGGATAAATAGCTATCATAATAGTGGGGGGAATTTTATTCTAGTATGTGCTTCCTTTGTTTTTGTTGTGGAGACAGTGGCAGAGAAAACATACGTGTACAGGTATTGTACTTCATTGGGGCTTTAACCACTTGCTAACCACTCTATAGCCAAATGACGGCTACAGTGACAGAGAAAACATACGTATACAGGTCTTATACTGCATTGGGGCTTTAACTACTTGCTAACCACTCTATAGCCAAATGACGGTTACAGTGTGGTTTCCAGCTCTGGGAGGGCGTCATATGATGTCCTCCCAGAACGCGCCCTCCCGCGTGCTCCCAGCGGTGTGCACCCGGCTCTGTCTGTGATCGCTGTGTCCTACGGACACAGCTGATCACATGATGAGGTAAAAGGCCAATCACAGCGGCCTTTTACCACGTGATCAGCTGTGTTCAATGATGTAGCAGATCGCCAAGTAAATACAGTTGCCGGTTATCGGATGCACTTTCCTCAGGCTGTCAGAGCGTGAGGAATGTACTGCCGATAACTGGCAAATGACACAGAGGACGTTTGCACTGATCATTAGGGCACTGATGATCAGCGCCGCCCATCAGTGCTGCCAGTCATCACCGTCCGTCAGTGTGTAGCATCATCACTGCCTCCTCATCAATGCCCACCAGTGCCTCCTCATCAGTGTCACCTCATCAATGCAGCCTATTAATGCCCATCAGTGCTGCCTATTAGTGCCCATCAGTGCAGCCTCATCAACGCACATCAGTGAAGGATTACCTGTTTGCAAAATTTTATAATAGAAACACGTTGGTTTTTTTTACATATTTTTTGCAAATTTTTTGTTTATAGTCCAAAAAAGCAAAACCCCATGATGATTAAATACCACCAAAAAAAGCTCCATTTGTGTGAAAAAAGTGATAAATATGTCATATGGGTACAATGTTGCATGTCATTCAAAGTGCAACAGCACTGAAAGCTGAAAATTGGCCTGGGCACGACGGGGGTAAAAGTGCCCAGTAGGCACGTGGTTAAATATTACCAACATATTTTGAGTTAGCTGCCTATTTTTTTGGGATATACAGGGCATTTTGCCATGAGATTATGCATATTTTTATAATTTTCCTAGATTTTCAATAGGTTGTGAATAAAAGGTAATCATTGTAAGCTCCCCTCGCAGTGTTATAGTTTGTCCTTACCCCCGTCACTGTCCCTTTTGCTGGAGAATTTGGTCTGCCTGTAAATGTGTGGAGATACATATAAATATTAGAATGTGAACTATAAAAAATGTATAGCATAAACTGTCATTACACAAGTAAAATTTATTATTATTAATGACAGTGGATCTTTAAGGTCTTCAAAAAAGTTAAAAGCTTTAGGCTGTTATGTATCTTTTAGCCCCTGTGAGTTGAATTCCAGCATTTTATTGTGCCTGGGAGGCACAGGTACAGTTCACTGCCTGCAGCCTGACAAAGCGTATGGCAGGCTGATATACAGAATGCTGCGGCTGCATGTGGCTGAATGCTGTACCAAGTGCTACTGAAGTTTAGGGCTCTATACTTTCAGAGATGAATGCCCTGTATGCTGGTATTCTGTCCCAGCATTGATCCCGGAAAGCATACAGCAGGCTTTAGCCAGCAGGCATAGATGCTGCACCTGTGCTTCCCAGGCGCATAAAAGTGCTAGGATTGGAAGCACAGCAGCTCGACACTCCATGTGCAATAGACCATAAGCTTTTAAATGTTACTGAAGTGGATACTCTTTAGAGTAGTGTTTACAAATAAACACACTACTCACATGCTGTGATTTTTAATAAATCTTGATTACTGTAAATCCTATCCAAAAAAAGCATTAAGCACTTGTCTATCAGCTCAGTTTACAAACAGCGGTTGGTAGAACTACATTTTAAACAAAAATGATGATTTCACCACACATGTGAAATATTGCCCGGGAGTGACATTTTTAAAACGTTGCCTATGGACAATTTGGGGTACTGAAGTTTGTCACCGTTTCATGGGCACATACAATTTTAAAGTGTGACATGTTTGCTTTTTGTTTATATTTATTTAATACAACCTAATCTTTTATATTTTACCAAATATATTATTATTAAAATATAATATAATATTATTGTATTTATGCACTAAAATCAGCATAAGTATATTTTTTACAGAAAATATACATTTGCGAAATGTGCTGTAATATCATAACGTAAAAATTGCAACTACCACTACGTTATTGTCCATGGTCTCTTCTTTTAGTATATATATGGGTGGGGGTTTTAACTAATAGTCAGGCCTTAAATGTACATTTTAATCTGTTCAAATACTGGGAAAAAAAGCTTGTTATAGAAAAGTGGTTAAAGTGAACTTGTACTTGTATTTACACTTTTAAAAGCAATATAAAATGGTTTATTAGCAAGAAAAGGTTTTTCTGTGCCTTTCTCTATTACCCGAGAGTCTCAAACTAGACATTGAAGCATTCATTTTTTATGCATTCTTTATTTTTCAAAACTTGGGCAATTTACAGTAGGAATGGTATCACTTGAAAAAAAAATTACAGTATATGGTAAAGCAAAACATCACCTCCTTAGGTCTGAAGACATGAATGTAAAAATAGAGTACATACAATTAATATTGGTGACTGTTTTGCTTTACGTCTTTTAAGGTTCGTTTTGGTAAACCCCAACATGCACAAGCTATCCATCCTTCCTAACAAATAGCTACGGTACTTGTCTCTCTTTCTTATGTTGGAGTCTTTTCCCAGGGTCTTCCAGACTGCTTCTTGCTTTTCTGAAGTCTTGCAAACAACTGCTCATTAGCACGATGCTTGTTCAAGTTCTTTTCCCTCCCCCATTTCCTGTACATCATTTCCTGTCCTGAGCTTCACAAACCAGTCTAACAGGTTAGTTAGCATATCGATAGGGGAGGCCTAGCTTTTAAAAACGGCACATCTAACTAAACTGTTACTCTATATTAATGCTATAAAAATCACTAAAAATAGCTATAGCAACTCATTGACACAAGAAAAAGGAGAAATAGGTACATTGTAGGATTCAACAGTTTGCTCAAATCCACACCGATCCAATTTACAGAAACAGGGAATTTACAGGGATTAATGTAAAGTAATAAGGTACGCAATATATACTTTTTCAAGGTGTATACGGGGATGAGAGTGAGGAGAGCTTCAGCCTCAGGAGAATCATGTGTCCAAAGGGCTGTGTCTGTAATCTAATCAGAGTGGAAATCAACACCTGTGCAGGGTGGAGGGGAAAGAACTGGGAGGAAGTGGGGGTCCGCCAGGTGGGGAACTGCTCCCCTTCTGTAAGGAAAGCTCCAGTACGTTGAAACAACAGAGATAATTAGAACAAAATCCGCAAGCTGCATATCTAACGGGCCACAATTTACAGTATATGCAATGTGAAAGGATCTTTACCCTGAAAGTAACTGTTTATAGTTACATGGGTATTGCAACCGGTAATTGAGGCATTCATATTTGATAGGTGGTTGGGTCATAATTTGGCTTACATTGAGTGAATCAATGGATTCTTTCTGTCTTGTGCCAGCAGTTCAGGATGCTGATGGTGGTGTAATAGTCTGGAATATTTTTTAGGCTAAGCATTATTTTAAAGTGGACCTAGCATCATATATATTTTTTATGTTAATTGCATATATGCTAATGAATGTGTGAGTGTGGCACTTTTACATAAACCACAGAACTCCGCCCTGATAATACCCTCATCTGATTTTCTCTCCAGAAGGATGAAGCCATCTTTGTTCAGGCATCATCCAGGGTCAGCTTCTTAAAGCTCCATTCACACTAGTGGCATTTCAGATGTAACTTGAGTCGCATAGAATCGTATGGCAATGGAAAATAACATTGTTTTCAATGATGCCCTTTCACATCAATGCAACTCAGCACAGTGAAATTTTGGAAAAAGTTCCTGCACTACTAGTTGATGCGATTAAAGTATAATTTTGGCCACATAGAATATGCAGACCTTATCAAAGTTGCATCCACACATGTCAAGCTTTAAATTTGCAGGTATCCTTTAAATTGCAAAAACTATTATACCCAAAATTGTCCATAGATGATGCTTTAAAAAGTTTTACAGGTTTAGAGTTAGCTATTAATTACGGCCCTAGAATTATTACTATCATTCCAATGTTTGCAGGGATCCCTCACATGTGTGGTGCAATTTATGTTTATATACATGCGTGTGCCCTATGTTCATGTTAGCATTCAGGTGTGTAATTTTTTTTAACAGTTTTTAAAATGTAACTTAAATAGGAGGCTAAAAAGCCTCTCCTGCCTTTTACTGCATCTAATTAAGAATAGACTGTGCTTGATCAGCTGTTTACCTGGCCACAGTAGCTGGACAGCTCTGAGCACAAAGGAGTCCCTCTCGCTCTCCATGCTGAGGCACTTTACTGCAATCCCGCATCTTCCTGGAGGAACAGTGAACCAACGTGGGCAGTGGGCCTTAAGTTTAAACCCACCTAGGTCAATTTTAGATATTTAAAAGCACTTACAGAAAACATGATTTGCCTGTTGAGAAAATCAATACCAAGCTTGTGGCCGAAGCTGCAGCTGTAGACTTTTTGTAGCCCTTTGAATACCAGGATGTTTATAAACGTTTCTACATATGCCTTGGTAGACAACAGATTCATGAAAAAATATGGAGAATCTTTTGAAATGCTACCATTACTGTATATTGTGACTTGTCAGTAGTTTAATCAAGCAAACTTGTCACTAAAATGTCTACTTTAATATTGCTTTGTAAGATTAAAATTCATAATACCACTGCTTTAAGTTTTCCAAAATAGTCTTTTTGTTGTCTACTTTTAGTTGCTGATCCACTATGCCAAGCGGTTGTCCAACATCTAAGATGGATAATGCAGAAAGACCTTCTGGGACAAGATATCTTCCTCATTGGTCCCCCTGGTCCACTAAGGCGTTCCATTGCTATGCAGTATTTGGTAAGTTTAGGCATGTTCCTGCCTAGTGCAACATGGGGCTTCTGTTCTTTTCCAGTACAGTATGTATCTTTATTGTACATTATAGGAAACAGGCTGGATATTCATAGATACAAAAAATGGCCACTTCCCCAGTCTATAACTGGCCTTCATAGCCAGGAGCACATGGAAGGGCGACACATGTCAAACAACAAAATCGAAAAATCCCCAGCTCAACTTGCCAACCAGCCTGCAAACCGAATTAACGTATGTATTTGCAAATGTGTGCTAGCTAAACCCCTATTTTTAACACATACTATTAGACAGGTTGCAGGCTGATTGGCAAGTTGAGCTGGGGATTTTTCTCTTTTGTTGTTGGATATTCATAGACCCTGGGGTACAGGCTGATGACATGACACTGGCAAAGCTTTGCTGGATACGCTCCCTGGGAGTAACCCTACCCCACTCCGTGAGACCTCATTTTTTGCTAGTGTCCCTAGATGATAGAGCTATTCTCCCTTACCACTGACCAGTGTGATGGGCAAACACCAGTGACAAGGACAGGTAAGACAGGATCACTCTATTCTTGGACAGATACTGTAGCTTCACAAAACATATGTGACCCAGTATCTCTATTATGTGCTTTTTATTTATGTGCATCCTGAATAATATCTGTTTTTACATTAAAGTGATTAAAAAAAAAAACTGGAATGCATTTGAAAAGTTATTCACTTCTGGAGTGTAAAATGTTTCAAACTTGGTAGTAAAATTCCACCATTCAGAGTTTAGTCTCAGGTTTTTTTTTATTATCTTTTTGTTAGTTTCATATTACAAAATCACAAACACAATATAAATCAATACAAATACATTTTCCAAAACATATTTTTCCCAATCCAACTCCTTCCCCCTACCCCAAATAATTTATCTCCCCAGCTCTTCTCCTAACTTCATTTTCCCTTTTTCTTCTTGTTCCTTCATTACTCCCTCTATCATCTTTCTCCCTCCTCCTTTCCCCCCTCTCTATCTTTTCCCTTCATTTTACATTGTCCCTCTTTCTTTTCTTCACTTAAACTCCTACCAGTTCTACGTATTTTTGAAATTTTAAACTCATCCCATCTTTCCCATGTTATTCTAAATTTTTCCATTTTTTTCCTCTCCTAGATGGTATAGTTCCTCCATCCTATACTATACTATCCTATACTCAAACCTATGCAACCAATCTTTTATTTTTGGTATTCTGCCAAAATGTAAGAATCGGTCCTTTTGCCATATTTATTAAGTGAAATACCATCATATTCCTATATTGTTTCACTGTTTTGATATTATGTAATAAACATACCCAAGGATCTTTCAAAATATTCATCCCCAGGATCTCTTGTATTATCTTAATTATTTCCTGCCAAAACTCCTGTATTCTGGGGCATTCCCCATATATGTGCCATTGTTCTCTTTATCCCACACCCCCTCCAATATAAATGTGATTTCTCTACTTGTTGCCTATGTGCTACATTAGAAGTGATATACCATCTTGCTAAACGTTTATAGTTCATTTCTGTTTTAGTCATATCTACGGCACCATGTGCAAATTTAAATATTTTCTTTTTTTTTTGTTCAGTTGTGTTCCAAACTCCTTTTCCCACTTCTCCAAAAATGGTGGAGAAGTGGGTCCTGCTTTTGCAGTAAGAATCTTATAACTATGGGAGGTACCATGTTTTCTTATTATACTTCAACTAAACATTTGTTCAAATGGATACAGATGGATACAGATCTTCCACTGATCTTAATGGCTGTGCAAGCGCTGTAGCCAAATGTCTTAATTGAAAATATCGCCACTCATCTAATATAAAAAATCGAGAGCTTAGAACTACCATTATACCTATATACAAGAAGATAAGAGCACCTGCAGTGGAATATAGGTGTAGCTTTTGAAGCTGCGGACACCACATCCTGCTCTGATCTTTAAAGTAAAAAATACAATGCCTATAAATATGAAGAGTAGCTCTGTAAAAGGAGGTGGGTCAAAAACACCCCAAACAAGTTCAAGTACGATAAAGAAATATATGCCTCTACAAAAAAAAAGTCCAGAGAGTAAAAGTCCCGAGAGGCAACAGGGAGCACGTGGAAGACGGGAGATAAGAGATTGGAGATCAAAGAAGAGTATTACTGGGAGTACCCAATTTGAGTCAAATCAAAGAAGTTTTAAATATGGAAAATTTGGATTTAGAAAAATCAGAAGAACAGGGAATAAACTCCCAAATGCCTACAAAAATGGAAATAGCGGAAATGTTTGCAAAACTAGAGCACTCTATAAAGAATAATATGGCTGTATTACATAAAGATCTAGGACAGGTATTGTCACGAGGGAAGATACAGAGGAGAAATTAGATAAGCACGCTCAAATAATAACTAAACTGGAAGGGCAAATGGAAGAATTGCGAAAAGAGCAAAGGAAATTATCATATAAGTTGGAGGATTAAGAGAACAGAGATAGAAGGAAGAATCTGAGGATTAGGGGCCTGCCAGAAATATCACAAGGAGAAGATTTAACATGTACAGGTGAAACTCAAAAAATTAGAATATCGTGCAAAAGTTAATTTATTTCAGTAATGCAACTTAAAAGGTGAAACTAATATATGAGAGAGATTCATTACATGCAAAGCAAGATAGTTCAAGATGTGATTTGTCATAATTGTGATGATTATGGCTTACAGCTCATGAATATGTATATTGAAGAGAGTGTTTAATCCAATATTAGATAGATCTGAATACATAGAACTGGCCACACCCAAGGAGTGGCAAGGAAACCCCCAGAAATGTGATTGTGCGATTTCATCATTGTGAAGACAAAGCAAATATATGAAAGAAGATGATAGGGGTCCCCAGTAATAAAATATGGAGAAATTAACATGTTATTAACAAAAATTTGCAGATATAGCACTTGAAACATTGGCCAGAAGAAGAGCCTTGAATCCGTTACTGAAGCAGATGTGTAAAGAAAAACGTGCCATACAACTGGGGGTTTCCAGCATGTTTGATCGGTTGGAAAGATGGAAGTTCCGCAAGAAGATTTACAGGATTTTTGTGAAAAATTAGACCTACAGTTAAACATTCCAGGGTGGATAGGAGGGGCTATCTGAAAGGTATTATAGGTAGATATATAGAGGGGGGGGGAGGGGAGAGAAGGGAAAAAGAGAAAGAAAAGGGGGGTGAGGGTGGACTGGAAAGGAGAAATTTTCATTGTAAACAGGTAGAGAATATTACAGTAAAGGCAAGGGCGCTAGGAGGTCCAACATACACATGAGCGGGAGGCCCAAGGACTGGGGCTTGGGAGGCGGTTAGGCATACGTGGTCAGAGTTCCACCCCAAAGCGGAATCGACAATGGGATAGAAGCACAATAGACTCAAGGACAAGATGGGCCAGGGAGTTTTAGGATTTAAGGGTGGCAGGGGGTGGGACGGGGGGGGGAGAGGGAGGGATGGGGTGATTAGGAGGGAGGGGAAGTAATGGACTCCTCTGGAGATACTTTCTTGTTCCAGAATATATACCGTTAGGTCCATATATATTTGGACACAGGCACAATTTTAGTTTTTTTCAGGTAATGACCAAAACATATTCAAGCTATAGTTATCTGGTGGATGTGGGCTGAAATTGCACACTCCCAGGTTTAATTTGAGGGTATGTACATCCAAATTGGAGAAAGGGTTTAGGAATTACAGCTCTTAAGAGTAGCCATCCCCCCTTTTTCAAGGGACCAAAAGTAATTTGACAATTGAATCAAAAGCTGTTTCATGGCCAGATGTGGGCTGGCTACTCCTTCGTTATTTCTTCATCAGTTAAGCAGGTAAAAGGTCTGGAGTTGATTCTAAGTGTGGTGTTTGCATTTGGAATCTATTGCTGTGAACCTACATCATGCGTTCAAAGAAGCTGTCCATGCAAGTGATACAAGCCATTGTAGGGCTTCAAAAATGAAACAACTCCATCAGAGAGATAGCAGCAACATCAGGAGTGGCCAAATCAACAGTTTGGTACATTCTGAGGAAAGAAGAACTTACTGGTGAGCTCAGCAACATAAAAAAGCATGGACATCTATAGAAGACAATAGTGGTGGATGATCGCAGGATCTTCTCTATGGTAAAGAAAAAACAATTCACAACATCCAGACAAGTGAAGGACACTCTCGAGGAGGTGGACGTATCATTGTCAAAGTCTATAATCAAGAGAAGACTTCACAAGGGCAAATGCAGGGGGTTTGCCACAAGGTGCAAACCATTCATAAGCCTGAAGAATAGAAAAGCGAGATTAGACTTTGCCAAAAAAACATCTAAAAAGCCAGACGAGTTCTCGAAAAGCATTCTTTGGACGGATGAAACTAAGATTAATCTGTACCAGAATTATGGGAAGAAAAAAGTGTGGAGAAGGCTTGGGACAGCTCATGATCCAAAGCACACAACGTCATCTGTAAAACATGGTAGAGTCAGTGTGATAGCATGGGCATGCATGGCTTCCAGTGGCTCTGGGTCATTGGTGTTTATTGATGATGTGACAGAAGACAGAAGCAGCCGTATTAATTCTGCAGTGTTTAGAGATATACTGTCAGCCCAGATTCAGCCAAATGGAGCAAAGTTGATTGGATGGCGCTTCACAATACAGATGTACAATGATCCAAAACACACTGCAAAAGCAACTCAGGGGCTTTTGAAGGAAAAGTGGAATGTTTTGCAATGGCCGAGTCAATCACCTGATCTCAACCCAATTGAGCATGCATTTCACTTGCTGAAGGCAAAACTAAAGGCAGAAAGACCCACAAACAAAGAAAAACTGAGGACAGCTGCAGTTAGAGCCTGGCAAAACATCAGAAAGGAGGCAATCCAGTCTTTGGTAATGTTCATGGGTTCCAGACTTCAGGCAGTCATTGCCAGTAAAGGATTATCAACAATATATTAAAAATTAACATTTTATTTATGATTATATTCAACTGTCCAATTACTTTTGGTCCCTTGAAAAAGGGAGGGTGACTACTCTTAAGAGCTGTAATTCCTAAACCCTTCCTCCAATTTGGATGTACAGTGCATACCCTCAAATTAAACCTGAGAGTGAGCCCATATCCATTATATAACTATAGCTTTAATATGTTTTGGTGAATACCTAAAAAAAACTAAAATTGTGCCTGTGTACAAATATATATGGAACTAACTATATCCGTACCTCTCTCAGTTTAGATTAGTATAGATTTGTAAAGGATAAAGTTTAAGGAATGAATGTGGTTAATTTTATGACATATAATGTGCAAAGATTGAATACTCCGGTCAAGAGACATAAGATTCTAAGAGTTTAGGAGATATTAATTTTACCTACAGGTAAACTTTATTATAAGCTTACCTGTAGGTAAAAAATGAACAAAGTAGCTTTGCTACCACTTTAACTGGCCTGCCTGCAGACCAGACCTTTCGCATATTATTATTATTATAATACAGGATTTATATAGCACTAACAGTTTGCGCAACACTTTACAAAATGAAGGTAGACATTACAATTACAATAAAATTTGGTACAAGAGGATTTGGCACATCTTTAAACAAAACTATTACAAAGAAGATCCAGGACTGTTGAGCAGTTAGGATCCTATATCAGGCAAGAATGAAACAATATGCCTATCCCAAAACTTCATGTGTTGCCTCTATCAATTTGAAAATTAGCTTATTTTTTTTCTTGAAACAGTACATTTGATATGTTTGCTATTTTGTATAATGAATAAAATATGGGTTTATGAGATTTGCAAATCAGTGCATTCTGTTTTTATGTAGATTTTACACAGCGTCCCAATTTTTTCAGAATTGGGGCTGTAAATCCACTAATTATTTTTCTTTCTTAGTTTTTGACTACTTGTTTACCCTTTCTTGTTACAGGAGCTAACAAAGAGAGAGAGGTGGAATATATTGCTTTGTCCCGTGACACCACTGAGTCTGATCTAAAACAGAGGAGAGAGATACGATCTGGAACTGCATTTTACATTGATCAGGTAAGCTGTTATCACACCTCTTTATTCCCATTTGTCAAGAATTAACTTTGATCTTAATGCATACAGAGGTACATCTAAGGTGTAATGATTGGTGTAAATTGAATTACTCCAAAACTGGTTTTACAATACTAAGTTTGCAGAAAAAGGTTGCAATAGACACCAAAAATGAATTGAATATTAAAAATGACCCATTCACCTTCGATCAGGCACATTCAGATATTTAGTTGAAGAGGATCGGAAAGGTGCATACAGGTGCTTTGCATGTAATGAGTCAATCTCATATATTAGTTTCACCTTTTAAGTTGCATTACTGAAATAAATGAACTTTTGCATGATATTCTAATTTTTCGAGTTTCACCTGTACATACACTTCCCAATGTAGACTTGTAGGTATATCGGTGAAAAATGATAGTGGCTGGAAAACATTTTCTAACCACGCCCACACCGGGCAGCAGCATCTATGGAGATGTCACAGACATGAAATCATTGTTTGATCCTCATGTAGAGTCCAGACGGAGGCTGATTACCATCTCATGTCTGTGGATTGGTTGTAAATCCTATAGGTATCCACACTTTGTAAAGCATGGCTTAAAAAAAAATCACTAAAGGTCATACAACCTGAAAAATGGGTCAGAATTTTTTTTCTTTTTTTCCAGGACAGAGTTTCAGGTCACATGACTCCTTTGCTTTTCCTCAGCCCTGTATGGCCCCAGGCCCCAAACTATGTACCATAAAAAAGGCACACACAAATATTCCAAAGTGATATAGATCTTGTCTCAGGGATGTGGACACATGAAGAGGAGTGGTGATGCTATTTGTGATTGGAATCAACTGTACATCAGTTGCAGCATCTGCACTGCCATCTTGGGAAACCAGCCTAAGAACAGGAAAGACAAAATAGCAGCGCCCTCCGCCCTGCTATTTTGTCTTTCCTTAATGATAAAAGTCTTTCTCTCAGTAAAGGTTTTCTTTAAAAGAAATTTGTGCTGGTTGAAATGAGTAGACTGCCATAGATGACCTGTTTCTGGAAATCCTTGTTAGATGGCTGACCTACTGATTCAGTGACTACAGGACAAGCATGCAGCAAATGAAATCTGACTCCTTGCAGTAATTTCATATTTTTTTTGGGATAAGCAACTCACACGCACACAGTAAATGCATAATTTATAGAAAATGTAGCAATTAATGGTACTGCAGCCAGGACTCCTATACCTGTACATGTCTATGGGCTGCTCTTATGAAAAACTGTTAGTATGAAAAATACTGTGCCACTATTGTGCCAAAATTAAAAATTGTGCAGTTGATTTTCCTAATTTTTTTTTATGGAAACTACATGGAAACTGTTTTCTTTCAATTACTTTTATTAGCATTAGGAAAAGAACAAGAATATGCAACTGAAGGTGATTGTAGTTGGCTTTCACAAGCACTGATAAATACACATAAGGGGAGATTTACTAAAACTGGTTCACACAGAATCTGATGCAGCTGTGCTTAGTTACCAATCAGCTTCTAACTTCAGCTTGTTCAATTAAGCTTTGGCAATAAGTGCCTGGTCATACTGGTGGGATTTGGGAATTTAAATCGCATCTAATGAATGTGAATATCAGTGTCTTAACATGTGTGATTTGCTCATTCGCAATTTCTAAAGTAGTTCATGCATTACTTTTTCTGCAGTTTTGTTGCAATTTCACATACATAGAATGTAATTGAAATTATGTAAGTTGCAAGAAATCATTGAAAATCTTCACAAGTAGTAATACATTCTTCAGAAATCGAACTTAGAATTGCACACAAATCACGCGATTTTAAATCGCAGCGGTGTGACCAGTATGTAAGGGTCCATGCACAGTGGCTTAAAAAATGCTTCTTCTACAGGAGATTTGTGTTTTGCCCGTAGAAGCAGATCAGTGTTATCCTATGTGTCCATGCACATTAGAACATTTAGAAGCATATTTTAACCACTTGCCATACTTTACCCCCCTTCCAGACCAGGCCATTTTTTGCATTACGGTTCTGCATTACTTCAACTGACAATTGCACGGTCATGCAACGTTGCACCCAAATGTTCTTTTTTTCCCACAAATAGAGCTTTCTTTTGGTGGTATTTGTTCCCTGTGCGGTTTTTATCTCTTGTGCTATATAAACAAAAAAAATGACAATTTTAGGGAAAAATATTTTTTACTTTTTGCTAATAAACATGTCTAGTAAAAAAAATTGAAAAAATCACATTTCGTCATAAATTTTGGCCAAAATATATTCTGCTACTTGTCTTTGCTAAGAAAAAATCCCATTATGTGTAAATTAATTGGTTTATGTGAAAGTTTTAGCATTTACAAATGGCGGTATATATACTGGGATTTTTTTCTTTCATTTTTACTAGTGATGGTTGTGATCAACAACTTATAGCGGGACTGCGACGGGCATTCTGACAATGGGGGGAACTGCCTTGGTGTAACTGACAATCCCCAGTGACAGCAATACGGTGATCAGTGCTAATAAAAAGCACTGACACTGTAATAATGGCACTAGGCATGAAAGGGGTTAACGTGGGGTGATCAAAGGGTTAACTGTCTGCTGTTTTACTAAGGGCTGTGTGTTAGCGGTTCACTGTAAGCACACTGCTTTGCATGGTTGTGCTGTGCACAGCCATGGAAAGCAGTGTGCACGAGCTGACAGGGAGGAGAACTGTTTTGCTTGCTAACATTTCTCCCCCGTCGGAGATGTTTGGCAATCACTGGAGGCCAGCAAGTAATCACTGGGCGGGACCTGGTGATTGACAGCCACGGCCGTGCATGCGCTCCCTACCCGGAAATGCAAAATCACGTATATATACGTGATTTTGCGCACCCGTGCTGCCCTGTAGCAGTATATCTGCTATAGGGTGGATGGGAAGAGGTTAATCTCTGCATTTAGAGGCAAAAAAATCCTTCTGTTTTGCATTTTGGATTGGAGTTTTCTGGCAGAAAAAATGGTAAACACTCCTAAAAGCACTTAAACGTGTACAAAAACACTGTATTTGAACATGTTTTTTTTTTTTTTTTCAACCAAGAGAACTGACTTTTTCTTAAACCCAGTGTGCATGGAGCCTAAAATCAGTTTTAGTAAATCTCCCCCATAATATATATAAAACAGATAAGTAGAATAATTTTTTTCTCGGCTTGTTGGGCTGAGGATTAATCCAAGTATGTATTGTAATCAAATTTTGTGGCCCAGTGGTCTAGAGGTGACAAGAAGTTTGACAAAGATGTAAGGTAGGGAAGTAAATTAAAGCTAAACTCCAGGAGTACAAAATCCTTCTTCTGCAGTGTAGCTGCACCCACACTGCAAAGGTTAATGGCTTGTTTATGGGATAATAAAAGCATTTTACTTACCAGATTTAAGGTTGCCCCATGTTCCAGTGGTTTGAGAGACTTCTGAAAAGATTCATTTTCTAGTGAGTTTGGGGATCTTGCAGTTGTGGTAAAGTTGTCCATTGTAGATTTATTTGTATTGATGGTCATGGTTCACTTTTCCCTGTTGATAGTCACTGCTGTATTGCAAAATTCAAAGGTTCTGCCTTCTGCACCACAGAGGTGCTGAGAGGGAAGTTTCATGAGGTGGAGTCAGAAGAGACTAGAGAAAAGACGCACCTGATGGGCAGCCAAAGTATGGCCTTGGAAAGGCCTTGGGTACAGAAAGTGTTTCATGCCACTTACTCCTTCTCTAGAGGGGTTTCAATCCTGATAAGCAAATATCTTTTGTGCGTAATCGATGAGGTGCTAATGGATCCTCACAGTAAATTTTATAATGTATAGCCAAAGTTCTAGGTGTCACTCTAGACTCCAACCTATCCTTGCAGCCCCATGTCCAATTGCTGGCAAATTCATGCAGGCTCCACCTCTGCAACATCTCCAAAATACGTTCGTTCCTAACCCCAGACACTACTAAACAACTCATTCACTCCCTTATTATCTCACGACTCGACTACTGCAACTCCCTTCTCACCGGCCTACCTCATCACAGACTATCCCAGCTTCAGTCTATCCTGAACTCAGCGGCCAGACTCATCCACCTTACCAACCGCTCCGCATCCGCCAGCCCCCTCTGCCATTCCCTCCACTGGCTTCTGATTGCCCAACGCATAAAATTCAAACTACTAACATTGACATACAAAGCTGTTCATAATACTGCCCCAAACTACCTCACCGACCTGATATCCAAATACCACCCAACACGTACTCTTCGCTAGTCACAAGACCTCCTACTCTCCAGTTCCCTGGTCTTCTCCTCCCATGCCCAACTCCAGGACTTTTCCAGGTCTTCCCCCATCCTCTGGAACTCACTACCCCAATCCATCAGACTGTCATCTATCCTTCTTACCTTTAGGTGCACCCTGAAAACCCAACTCTTCGGGGAAGCCTACCCCGCCCTCACCTAACAGCTGATCTCCTCCACTCCTCCTTCCACTCCATCCCCCACAGCCATTTCCTCATGTACCACTATCCCCTCCCTCCTAGATTGTAAGCTCCAAGGAGCAGGGCCCTCAAACCCCTCGTGTATTGTATTGTTACTGTATTGTCTCATGTACTGTCCCCCACTATAATGTACAGCGCTGAGCAAACTTTTTGGCGCTATATAAATACTGTATAATAATAATAATAATAATAATAATAATAATATACCGTATTTGCCGGCGTATAAGACGACTGGGCGTATAAGACGACCCCCCTACTTTTCCTGCTAAAATGTAGTGTTTGGGCTATACTCGCCGTATAAGACTACCCCTCTTCCAATGCACACCAGTGGGAGGAATAGTGCCCCATCATTGATGTCAGTGGGAGGAATAGTGCCCCATCATTGGTATTAGTGGCAGGAATAGTGCCCCATCATTGGCATTAGTGGCAGGAATAGTGCCCCATCATTGGTATCAGTGGAGGAATAGTGCTCCATCATTGGTGTCAGTGGGAGGAACAGTGCCCCATCATTGGTGTCAGTGGGAGGAATAGTGCCCCATCATTGGT